AGGTCAGGACAGAGCCCTGAAGAAAACACTTAGAGAAGGCCAAAGAGAAGAAAGGAAGAGTGAAGACAATGAATTAAGACAACTTGAGAATGGTCTTTGTTCTTCCTCATATTTTGAAAACCAGCTTGTTAAGTTCTGTGGAAGACCTTGTGGGATTTTTAATCATAATTTCATTGAATTTATGATTTTTTGGTAGAGATTCAACATCTTTATGATATTTTCCCACCCATGAACACAGTTTCCTCTCCTTTTATTTAGATATTTTATGTCTTTTTTTTTTTTTTTAAGATTTTATTTATTTATTTGAGAGAGAGAGAGCACGAGAGGGAAGAGGGCAGAGGGAGAAGCAGACCCCCTGCTGAGCAGGGAGCCCGATGCGGGACTCGATCCCGGGACTCCAGGATCATGACCTGAGCCGAAGGCAGTCGTTTAACCAACTGAGCCACCCAGGCGCCCTATTTTATGTCTTTCAAAACAGTTAACAGTTTTCTTTGTAAAGGCCTCATTTATTGTTAATCAACAGGTAAATTATGACTTTGGTTTCTAAATGCAATATTTTAGAAAATTGTATTGTCTGATACCTTATTTCTGGTATAAGAGAATGTAATTGTAATTTGTCAAATCCTTTCAGTCTTCTATCATAATTCCTTACAATGACAGTTTACTTCTTTTCTTCCATTCTTCACATCTTTTTCTTATCCTACTGTGTTGGCTAGGACTGTGTTAGTTAAGTTCTTGGCAGAACCAGACTTTACAGTGTGAGTATAAATGTTGAAAGTGGGCATTCTTTATCTTATTTCTGACTTTAAAGGTAATGCTTCTAGTGTTTAATCAGTAAGAGCTGTGCAGGTGAAAGTTCTGGTCACCAATTCCAACGTGGGTGTGAGAGTGGGGTTGGGGTGTGGGGTGAAGGATGTTCTCACACCAACCAATGAGTCTCCAGGACCAGCCCGGTGTCCTACAATTCAGTTCACTTCTGAGAGTGTCTACCTGGAGGTAGTCATATCCCACAGGTTAAGGGCTTAGTCCTACAAGACTGTCCGCCAACCCCAGACACCAGTGGCAAGATTGGAGGTTCCAATGATCTCTCCTTGGGTTCAATTGATTTGCTAGAGTGGCTCATAGAATTCAGAGAAACACTTTACTTACTAGATTACTGGTTGATTATGAAAAGATATAACTCAGAAATAGCCAGATGGAAGAGATGCATAGGGCAGGGTTGGGGGAAGGGCGTGGAACTTCTGTGACCTCAGCAAGTATGTACCAGTCATTCCAAATCTCCATGTGTTCACCGGCTCACCAGCTCTCTGAACCCTCTCCTTTTGAGTTTTTATGGAGGCTTCATTACATAGGCACAATTGATTAAATCACTGGCTATTGGCAATTAATTTAACCTCTAGTCCTTCTCCCTTCCCTGGATTTTTTGGGAGGGGAGCAGGTGGGGTGGGAGTGAAGGTTCCAACCCTCTAATTACATGGTTGGTTCTCCTGGCCACCAGCCCTCATCCTTAGCTGTATTCCAAAAGTCACCACATTCACATAAGACACCTTTATCGCTCTCATCACTTGGCAATTCCAAGGGTTTTAGGAGCTCTGTGCTAGAAACCAGGGCAAAGACCAAATACACATTTCTTATAAATCATAACATCACAGTGGGTTTGGGAAGATATCTTCTGTCACATTAAGAAAGTTTGTTTTTTAGAGTTTGCTAAGCATTTTTGTTGTGACTGGGTCTTGAGTTTCACCAAATGCATCTTCCGATATTATAGTTCAGAAACATGGTTTTCCTTGCATGTGCATGCATGCATGAGTGGGTATTGCATGACCAGACTTAGTCATGATCATTGCTGTTATTGTTTTTATAGAGTTAATATTGTTTAGATTCACTTTTATTTTTATCACCACGTTGTTCACCTCTCTTCACGTGTGTAATGCCTTCTATTCCTAGAAGTTCCTTTTACAAAAATCCCTCCTGTCCTGTTTTTTTTTTTTTTTTTCTTTTTTAGTGAGGGTGTGTTAGTGGTAAATTCTCTCCATCTTCATCTGAAAATGCCTTTATTTAATGTTCACTCTTGAGTGATATTTTGGTTGGGCTTTTAATTTTAGGTTAACAGTTATTTTTCTCTCAACAGTTTGGAGACGTAACCTTGGGTCTTCTAGTGCTACTGTTAGAAGTCCACTGTCCGTATATATAGTTAATGTCATAGTCCTTCCTTTGTAGGTAATTTGTCTTTTTTTTTTACTCTTGATGCTTTTAAGATCTATTCTTTGTTTTTGGTATTCTGCAATGTCCTTACAATGCGTGTTGATTTTATTTGAATTTTTCCTCGTTAGGATTCAGTATGGTTCCTTAATTGGGGGATTCATGTATTTCATTATTTCTGGAAAATTTCCTTGCCATTATCTTTTCAAATGTTGTTCTACTTCATTTTCTGTATTCTGTCCTTCAGGAATGCTAATTGGAGGTATGTTGAACTGCCTTATTTTGTTCTCCTTGCTCTTTGTCATTTAAAAAAAAATACATTTCTGAGTAATATCTTCAGATCTGTCCTCCAGGTTGTTAATTCTTTCTTTAGCTGTGTCTAATATGCTATTAATCTCAGTGAAACCGTTGGGTTTTAACTCCAGTGACTAAAATGTTCATTTCTAAATGTCCTGTTTGGTTCTTTTTCTAGTCTGCTTTGTGTTTTTTGATAGTGTCTAATTCTTTCTCATGTTTCCAATTCTTTGTTTAAGTTAATAATTATTTTAAATACCATTCTGTAATAGTTTTTATCTGATAGTTCAGTTATCTCTAGTTCTTGGGGCTCTAATCCTATTGAATCTTGATCACCGTAGATTGTTTCCTCTTTCTTATATGTTGCAACTTTGGATTTTGAGATCTTTTTTTAGCAAGGCTTTATCTTTAGGAATTCTCTGCAATATGGGTTAAGACTGTCTTTCAGAGATTTTTCAGCCATGGACCACTATTTATTTTTATGAATTGGCTGTGAATTCCTGAGTAATGTAAAATTCAAATTTCAAATCCACTTAAGGTCAAGGCAGGCCTTTGGTTACAAATATTTAGGAAAGACAGTTCTCTTCTCCTTTTTCTTTTCTTTTCTTTCTTTTTTACCTAGGACTTAGGCCAAGACAAATAATCTTCCTGGTCATATTTTGTTAGTATTCTTTCTTTTATCTGAGGATTGAGGTATGGTTCCAAGTTCCAACCTCCCTGTATCTGTCAGGTCTAAGCTGTCATCTGAGTGGTCATTAAAACTCATTGGCTTCATTACTAAGATCAACTTCTCCCCTCTTGCCTCCCAGGGCAATTGTAGTAATGGCTCATTTACTTATTCCTTTAACTTAGAGTTCTTTCATTTTGGGCCTCTAGATGTTTCTTCTGAAGACAGCTGTACATTTAAAAGTATTATATTTGTTATATTTTATTTATCATTTCTAAATTTCTTTTAGAGAGTGAGAATTTTCAAGTCATCTACTTTACTGCCATTAAAGGTAAAGGTTGTTTTTTTTTTAAGATTTTATTTATTTTAGAGAGAGAGAGATAGCAATAGTTTTCACCTCCAGGATGCTCTAAGACTTTCCCAGAGCATTCCTCACTTTCTTTTCCTTCTCCATACATGAAGCCCCACATATCCCACAGTTCCTCACAAAGAGGTGGGTACGAGGGTGAGTATGGTCAACGTCCACAGTGAAGGAAAAGGAGGAGCTGAGTGAGGGGTGGGGGGGTACAACCTAGGAGGGACTAGAAGTTCCAAGGAACTTGGCCAAGCTGCAGGCACTTAGACTCCCAGCCCTGTGTTTGGGCTAGTGGCAAAGGGCAGGGTTGTGTTGTCAGCTTGTGGAGACACCAGCAAATCAACCGTGCTATAGCCCTGATCTGTGACAATCTTCCAGGGCCAAAATCTTCCTTTGAAAAGAGCCCAAGCTGAGGATGGAATAGGAGAATGATGAACTGCGTTTTATTTTGTATCCCCCCCTTTTTTTTTAATATAAAATTTTAATTGTAGTAAAAAACATAAGATTTATCATCTTAACCATTTTTGAGTATGTTAGTTTGGTAGTGTTAAAAGTTATATTCATGTTGCTGTGCAACAGATCTCCAGAAATTTTTCATCTTGCAAAATTGAAACTGTATACTGATTGAACAACAACTCCCCACTTCCTCCTCCCCCCAGCCCGTGGGAACCAGCATTTTACTTTCTGTCTATGATTTTGACTACTTTAGATACCTCTTATAAGTGGAATCATACAGCATTTGTCTTTCTGTGGTTGGCTTTTTTCACTCAGCATAATGTCCACAAGGTTCATCCACACTGTAAGGCTGTTCTTCTTTTTTAAGGCTGAATAATATTCCCTCTTGTGTATATAGCACATTTGGTTTATCCATTCATCTGTCCATGGACACCTGGTCTGCTTCCACCTCTTGGTTATTGTTAATAAGGCTGCTATGAACATGGGTGTACAAATATCTCTTCAGGACCCTGCTTTCAGATTTTTTGGATATATACCCAGAAGTGGAATTGTTGGATCATATGGTAGTTTTCTGTTTAATTCTTTGAGGAACCTTCCGACTGTTTTCTGTAGTGGTTACTATTTTATATTTCTACCAATAGTGCACAATAATTTACATCCTTTTTGCCCCTTGTTGATTTGATGTCAGAACATCTGTTAGTCCTTGGTCCCTGTCTCCTACTTCTCAGCCCTGTCTTGGATTCTTAGAGCTATGCTCAGAGAGTGCCTAGGCCATTGTGCTCATTTGACAGGGTGGGAAGCTGGGGTCTACAGAGGGGAAATGACCTGCCCTAGATTCCAGGCCTCCTGATCCTCCCAGACCTTTCACGTCACTCTTTATCCTCTGGGTCCCTGGCCTGACACCACCTGTGCTATGGATGGCCAAGCAAGGAAGAGCAACTGATTCTAGGGCTTGGCATTCCCCGGGATGCCCTGGCCCACGGCCACATAGTTCTTCCTCCAATGCTGTGGTTTCTGCCCAAACAGGTCCAACGGGCGCTCCTCCAAGCGGAGCCTTGGAGGGCAAGGCCGGCACCATTACCTCCAACGAGTGGAGCCCTCCTAACTCCCCTGAGGGGAGCAACGTCTCTGGGGGCAGTCAGGCGTTGGACAAGCCCATTGACAATGACGCGGAGGGTGTGTGGAGTCCGGACATTGAGCAGAGCTTCCAGGAGGCCCTGGCCATCTACCCGCCTTGTGGCCGGCGCAAGATCATCCTGTCAGACGAGGGCAAGATGTACGGTAAGGAGCCTGTTGGGGTGGGGTGGCAGACCCCTGCCCTCATGGTTCAGTTCTGGAAATAAGGCCCAGGCATGGGGTGGGCACAGCACCCTTGGGGTTCTCCAAGTAATGGAAGTGGGAATGACCACTGGGGCATTTATCGGGTGGATGCTGCTTCCTTCTGTCCTAAGTTCCCAAGGGATGGGAAGGCATGTGAGGAGAAGCCTTTGAGAGGGTGAGAAGCTGTGGTAGTAGAAGACTTGGGAAAGGGAAGAACACCCCCCATCCTCCGAGAGCAGACTGGGAGAGTCCCATAAGCTGCCTTCCAGGCAAATGCCTCATCAGTTCCCTGCTCCCCACCCTTGGCTGTGAAGGGAGGTTAGGGAGGTGGTTACTGGCCTCATTCCCCTCATTTGCGCACACACTCAGTCGTGAGCCAGGCCTAGGTGGGGAAGCTCTGGCCCCTGCTCACAATATGGTGGGGGTAGGGGAGGTGAACACACGTAGAACGTGCTACAGGGCAGGTGTGGAGTGTCCCAGGAGAGAGTCCAGCAGAGTTCTGTAGACCTTCACTCAGGAAAGGTCCCCTCCAGCTCAGAGCCATCTGGAAAGGCTTGATCTTTGGGAGTGGCTGAGAATGGGGGAACATACAGAGATACTTTCTGTCCAGTAGCCATGTGGGAAGAACAAAGCTGTCTGCCTGGGGCTGTGCTGACCTTTGGATGGAAGAGAGGGTATGTGGGAAAAGTGGAACAAAACCAAAAACTGAATAGCTATTGGAAAGCCCCGGTCAGGCTTCCATTCCCGGGACCGCCCAGCTTGAAACACCGGGCTTGGGCAGGTACCGGGAGGGTTTCTGTAACTGGCGGGCGCTCCTGACAACAGAGGGCCCTGACCTGGCTCCCAACAAGATGGCTCCAGGCCATGTGCCCACCCCCAGGGGTTTCCGTTCGGGTTCTCTCTCCTCCATGCAGCGTTGGTTCCCACTCAGCTCCCCCAGACAGAGACCTTGTCAGCTGTCTAAAGGGCGCTGTATGAGGGGCTCGTGGGGGCTGGCCATGTTCGTCTCCGAGGGCTGCTGTAGGAAATGACCACCAGGGGTGGCTTCACACGGCAGCACTGTATTTTCTCACAGCTGAGAAGTCTGGAGTCAAGGTGTCTTTAAGGTTGGTGTCTTTTGGGGGCTCTGAGGGAGGATCTGTTTCAGTCTCTCTCTTAGCTTCTGGTGGTTGCTCGCAAGCCGGGGCCTTCCTTGGCTTGTAGCTGCATCACTCCAGTCTGTGACTCTGCTGTCACTCTGTTGTCACATGGCCTTCTTCCCTATGTGTCCTCTCCTGTTCTTATAAGGATAGTAGTCACACCTAATCCAGTGTGACCTCATCTTAGTACAACTGTAAAGGTCCTATTTCCAAATAAGGACACATTCTGAGGTTCTGGGTGGACACTCTTCAACTTAGTTCAGCTAGACGGAGCACATGTCCAATTTGTTACCACCTTGGGGACCCACGGGGCTCTCACAGCCCCTGGCACTCATCCTTTACCTGTAGCCTTCCCTACAAGGCCACAGTGATTCCTCTCGTTCTTTTATTTGTTGGGGGAGCAAGGTCCGTGCTAGTTGGACCCTGGGTCTCATCCTCAGGCACCAGTTATAACTGTGCATCTCTCCTCACCAGCCCCATGGCTGTGGCTTTGCTGGGTCCGCACAGAGTCTCTCTGATTTCTGTGGGCCTCCGTGCCCTGGGTCGGCCCCCTATACTGCTCTTGCCCTAACCATTTCCTGCTCTGGTGTTTGCTTCTTACTTCTGGCCCCTATGGAAGCTTCGTGGAAGAGACTGCTGACATGTATGGAGCACCAGGTGTGGGATCAAGTGCTTTACATAGGTTATTCCCATGGAGCTGGAGAGGAATGGAGAACTGGTATCTTTGGTTCTTTCTACTACTTTGGTGGAGAGTGGGGTGGGTGTTGATGCAGAGCTGAGGGGTGAAGGTGAGAAGGGGTGGGGAGCGCAGGACAAACCTTGAGAGCTGTCCAGGTCTCTTGTTGGGAAGCCATGATGTGTCTTCAGGATACTGAAGGATACTTGGCAGGATATCTTTGTGCTTGAAGGAACAAATTTTCTGGCAAACACATGTGGCCAAGGGGCATTCAGCAGGAGAGAGCTGAGGGTGCTGCAGGTATCTGGTGGGGGGGGGGGGCATGGAGATGGCAGAACGTGGCAGAATCAGCAGACATTTATTGGAGTGCCACTGTGGACCGGACTTTGAATGCTGAGATGTCTCTTTTTGTGAGTGTGTGATAAAATACACAGTACATAAAATTTACCCTTTTCACCATTTTTAAGTGTACAGTTTGGGGGCATAAAGGACTATTCACGCTGTGGTGCAGCTACCAGCACCATCCTTCTCCAGAACTTCTTCATCTTCCTGAGGCTCCATACCCACTCGGCACTGACTCCTGTTGCCTCCTTCTCCTGGCCCCTGACCACCACCACTCTGCTTTCTGTCTCTGTGGACGTGACTACTCTAGGGACCTCATACAAGTGACATCAGACTGTCCGCCCTGTTGTGACGGCCTTAGTTCACTTAGCATCATGTCCTCAAGGGTCCTCCATGTTGTAGCCCAAGTCAGAACTACCTTTTGCAGCCTGAATAACATTCCATGGTATGGCTAGACCACATTTTGTTTATCCATTCGCCTGGCGGTAGACATTTGGTGGGGGTTGCATAGTTTTATGTAGTTGTTATGGGTAGATATTTCTCTCCCCACTTCACATGTAAAGGAATTGGGTGAAGAGACTTTGTTGTCGGTCAGCAGACAATTGTGACTGAGTCCGTTTGGGCAGTGCAAGCCTGCAGACCTCTGGCAGGCCTTGGAGTGAACTTCTGTTTGGCCCAAGGGGAGCTGTTGAGTGGTGGGGGGAAGCAGGATGAAAACGGTGTTTGGCAAACTGTCCTGGCCATGTTGTTGTCCCGTTTGTGGCTCTCCTCCTGCGCAGAGAGACAGGGAGGGGTAAAGGGTGGGGGGATCACACAGGGGTGGACCTGGCAGGCGAGAATTCTACCACTGAACCACCAATGCTGACATCAGGGGTGGACCTGGGAGGAAAAGAGGGGAGGGGGCCGGGGCCAGGAGCCTCTTAATTATGCTGAGGAAGACAGGAGCGGTCAGTGGCCTCTGACATCTTTATTTCTTGGATCTTTTCAAGGGAGGAGGGAGGAATTGTAACCGCTGGTTGCAGATGCAGAGATAGAAGCTCAGAGAAGCCAAGAGTTTCTCCCAGAGTCTCTCAGGTAGTAAGTGGGAGAGCGAAGGCTAGAAGCAGTTCCCCTGCCCCCAAGCACAGTGCTCCCTCATCACCCTGAATGGCCTTTGTGAAGCCTGCTGCCCCGCCTGCACCTCTGCTCCCTGCCCCCGTCTCCTGCTTGGCCCGGGCTCCAGGTGGGTCAGGCACAGGGCAGGGGCACTGGAGGCTGCTCCCCAGTGTCTGATGACTCACCCGGCCCCCACAGCACCTGTCCTCCGTGAGTACAGATCCTGCTGGGGTCCAGACGCTGGCTTATCCCCATCTCTTCTTACCAGGCGTGGGGGCTGAGCCAGGGCAGGACCGCTCACGGAGTTGGTGAAGGGGCCCTCGGCAGGGGCTGCCGTCCAGCTGGGAGGTATATATATCTCTGAGCTCAGCCCCGTGTGTGGGATGGGACCCTGGGAGGTGGAAGAAGAGGGACAAGCTGCCAAGCTGACTCAGACCTCGTCTCGCTCCGGCTCCTCTCCTCCATCTTCTCATCTTCCCTTGGGGGACTCACTCTTGCCATCCTCCAGTGCCCCGGCCCCATCCTGGGCCCCTGAGAGCCCGGTCTGCGCACACCCCACTTCCCGCGGTCAGAGGCCATCGGTTGTTTTCCAGGTGGGCCAGCCCAGTGAGACACAGGGCGGGAGCTGAGAACAAGCAGGCAAGAAGAGGCCTCAGACAGGGAGAAGAGCAGGCTGCTCTAGGGTGCCCCGAGGAGGGGGAGTCTAGACCTAGAGACTCTTGAGGAGAGAGATTCGGCCCGCTCCCAGCTCTGGCCCCAGCGCTGCCAGAGTGGGGCACTGTGAGGAGGGCCAGGCAGACATGAAGATAACATGCCGAGCTACAGGGCAGGGCAGATTAGCGCCTGTTATTTCTGAGCTGAGCCTCCCACACTTGTGGACGGGCTCCCGGGGCCGGGGCTGCTAGCTGGCTTCTGCTCACAGCTGCCTTCATTTTTTTGCCCTGTCACTCTGTGACCCTCGCCCTGGCACTGCCACACTGGTCACTCTGACCTCCTTTGGCCAGCCTGGCCGCTGGCCCTGTGGGCAGGTGGTGGGGAGGTGAGCGTGGGGCAACTTCTCACCCCCATCTGCCCGCACACTCTGTCTTTCCCTCCCCTCACAGCTCCGTCTTGCCTTCTCTGTTCTGTCTGCAAGAGGGCTAGCTGGCTCTGTCTTCCTGTGCATCCATTCTTTCCTGCCTGCCACGCTCTTGAATCTCCCAGCTCTCCTGGTCTCTCTCCCCTCTCTCTGCTTCTCCTCTCCTTGCTTCCTCTGTTGTCTCCCTGGGTGCCTTGTGACCCAGGCTTCTCGTTCCCACTAGCAATCCGGCAGCTCTTAAGCAAGCAAGGTCTCACTGTCCTGAGCCAGGCTGGGGCTGAGGGCTGTGGCTTCTGTTCTCCACGACTTCACGGGGCAGCAGAGGGACAGAAGAAACAACTTTAGAAAGTAAACTCATGACTTATGTTATATAGTGTCACCCAGAGGGCTAGGTTATCTTGGAAGTTTTCTGGAAGGAAGTGGAGCGTGAGCAGGGTAGAGGAGGGAGGTGCTCAGGGAAGGGGAAGAGAGTGAGCACTGGCCTAGAGGTGGGACTCTCTGTGGTGGTTTTGGTGGGCGATCTGGGCAGGTGCTGTGATGACGACTGTCAGAGCTGAAGGGACCCTGTTTTGGATGAGTCACGCAGCTCAGGAGAGGCAGAGTGGGGACTGGGCCCAGGTCACTGAGATGA